AACGGAACAGAAAGCCTTTCAGAAAGTCCTTTAGAAAGAAAAGAACAGGACATCGCAACCCCGGTTGTGGCGCACAGAGGCTTTAAGAATGTCCTTCCCTGCAGCTCCCTCTGGGCTCGGCCTCACCGAGCAACCGTTTTTTTTTTCGTTTTTTTTTTTTTTTTTGAGACAGAGTCTCACTCTGTCGCCCGGCCTAGAGTGCCGAGGCGTCAGCCTAGCTCACAGCAACCTCAAACTCCTGGGCTCAAGCGATCCTACTGCCTCAGCCTCCTGAGAAGCTGCGACTACAGGCATGCCCCATCATGCCCAGCTAATTTTTTCTATGTATTTTTAGCTGTCCAATTAATTTCTTTCTAATTTTGTTAGAGACAACCTCTCACTCTTGGTCAGGCTGGTCTCGAACTCCTGACCTGGAGGGATCCTCCTCAGAGTCAGCCTCTCCAGAGTGCTAGGATTACAGGCGAGAGCCACGGCGCCCGGCACACAGCATCAGTTTTTGATTCGTGTATTCCCAGTGCGCGGTCTCCAGCCCCCCACAGAGGAGTCGCCTGCCTCCACCGAGTTCAATGCTCCATCAAGAGAGATTAATGCACAATTTAAACGGATAAACAGGGACTTGAAGATCGCAAACCAAGCTAAGAAGGAAATGAATGGGGGAAGAGGTGGGGAGGCATTTGGGGGCGGAGAATGCCTGGAAAGGCACAGACGTCTTCCCCAGGGACGGATCTGGATTCACTCAGACACACAGTGAGAGAACATTCTCTAAATGGGAAACCCAATAGGTAAGCGAACTGAAACAAGTTAAACTGTACTCATTACACCTGCCCAAGGTCCAGGAGAAATAAGACACTTTGGGAAGTTCTGATGACCCAGATGGAGGCAAAGGAGACAGGGGCGCGAACACAGTAACACGAATTTGTACTTACTGAGTGTGTGCTGTGTGCCTAGTGTTGCACTAAGCACTTTGCAACACTCGTGTAATCCCTTAGAAGTGTCCTGCAAAGGCAGAAACTATTTTTCCCATTTTACAAACAAAGGCCCAGAGGCCGAGAGAGGCAAGGAGATTTGCCGCAGTCCTGTATTGACTAAGTGGAAGGTCCGAGCCCCAGGC